TTGAAATCCCCAAGGAAGAACACAATAAGAAGGGCATAATTCTGGAATCCACGCAGAGGAGGGTTTATTGTGTGTAAAACCCGGAGGAGCTGTCTCGGGGGCTGTTGCCGCTGGTTGATCTCCAGCACGCTCTTTGTCCCGCCCTGGGGGAAGCCCCGGCATTGGGAGCGGACTAGCTGCCCGCGTGTGTTATGCAACTCTCTCTTTGTCAGAGAGACAGTGTCTTATAGGAGAGTGTCTAGTGCGCGTTCGCCTGTAGCCTGATTGGCGCATTGGGACAACTGCGACCAGTGGCGCACGCGAGGTTAAGGTTATCTCGCATGGACAGTCATCGCCTGTACGCTGTCAGAGCTAACAAACAAAGACACTTGGCTAGGCTCGATGCCTCAGGAAACTTTGCTAGCATTTGGTCCGGCTAATATCCTAACAGAAAGGACCAGCGAAACCATATACGTGCACCACAGAATGACCTGGCGCCTTTAAAAAAGGCACCAGGATTTACGCAACAAGGGCATTAGAAGGAGCCGTCGCCGCCTGACTTCCAGTCCACTCAGCAGACACTTAGCACGCAACACGTGTTGGGCTGATGGCGTGGTCTGGTAAAGCGTCAGCTGACAGACTTCTCAGCCACGGTAAACCATGATAGTATCAAGCTCGCATCATATACGTAGCATAGGAGCTGCATGCTGCAGAAACTGAGGAACAGACTTACTTGAGAACGTTACTTGAGAACTTGTACTTATTCAGAAGGAATGCCAACGAAGAGAAGAAAGGAAGACAGAGAAGGCTACTTCTTGTGCAGTCAGTCAATACCGGTCAGTCACGCCGAAATCCCTGATTTAGATAACTCGAGACCCGAACTCAGATCCTAGGCCAGAAAACATGCATGCTTATATAAAGTCGCAGGTTCGTTGTTCTACTGACTGAGTTCAGAAATACTAATTAACACAGATGGGACACTCACTGGCCTCGCCCTAGTACGGGGACTGGACACACATGCACTTCAGCAAGTACATGAAAATAGACTCTGTCCGTAGGCAAGACCTTTGTGTATATATTCCAGATCCAAACCTGCAAGGCAAAGAGCAGTTGGGGCGGTGAGTAAAGCGTTAGACGTCTGAACAAAAAGCTCGCGGTTTCGAGCATTTGGGACCACAAAGCCTCGAGGATTATGGTTGGTCGATGGTGGCTGATAAGCCAGAAATAACCATTCCGGCCTCCTTTTTCTTATTCAGTGATGTTATCCTATCCAAATATTTTATTTTTGCGTATATTAGCCATCAAGGCCTGCCTGGACCCACCGGAAGCCGGATATGCCCAGTGTCACTTCAATACCACAACCAAGCCCACCTCGTCTGCCAGAAAGTTGGTCTTCTTCGATAAAGTTCTTGAACAGTGCCGCTGGTTCATGTTTCTGGGCTGTGGAGGTTCAGAGAACCAGTTTACTTCACTACAGCAGTGTCATGACGCCTGCGAGGTACCATCGGTCATCCAAAAGATTCGGCAGAGTAAGTTCCCCTCGTCAAGCTAC